CGTTGCCTCATACTCCCATACCAAAATTACGTCTTCTGTTCTGTTCCCCTATATCTCTTTTCCTTCAGATGTTCTGTTCTCCCATATCTCTTCTCTATCAAAGGTTCTGTTCTCCCATATCTCTTCTCCATCAGATGTTCTGTTCCCCTATATCTCTTCTCCATCATATGTTCTGTTCCCCTATATCTCTTCTCCATCAGATGTTCTGTTCCCCTATATCTCTTCTCTATCAGATGTTCTGTTCTCCTATATCTCTTCTCCATCATATGTTCTGTTCTCCTATATCTCTTCTCTATCAGATGTTCTGTTCCCCTATATCTCTTCTCTATCATATGTTCTGTTCTCCTATATCTCTTCTCCATCATATGTTCTGTTCTCCTATATCTCTTCTCTATCAGATGTTCTGTTCCCCTATATCTCTTCTCTATCATATGTTCTGTTCTCGTATATCTCTTCTCCATCAGATGTTCTGTACCCCTATATCTCTTCTCTATCAGATGTTCTGTTCTCCCATATCTCTTCTCTATCAGATGTTCTGTTCCCCTATATCTCTTCTCTATCATATGTTCTGTTTTTCCTATATCTCTTCTCCATCATATGTTCTGTTCTCCTATATCTCTTCTCCATCATATGTTCTGTTCTATATCTCTTCTCCATCATATGTTCTGTTCTCCTATATCTCTTCTCCATCATATGTTCTGTTCTATATCTCTTCTCCATCATATGTTCTGTTCTATATCTCTTCTCCATCATATGTTCTGTTCTATATCTCTTCTCCATCATATGTTCTGTTCTCCTATATCTCTTCTCCATCAGATGTTCTGTTCCCCTATATCTCTTCTACATCAGATGTTCTGTTCTCCTATATCTCTTCTCCATCATATGTTCTGTTCTCCTATATCTCTTCTCCATCATATGTTCTGTTCTCCTATATCTCTTCTCTATCAGATGTTCTGTTCCCCTATATCTCTTCTCCATCATATGTTCTGTTCTCCCATATCTCTTCTCTATCATATGTTCTGTTCTCCCATATCTCTTCTCCATCATATGTTCTGTTCTCCCATATCTCTTCTCCATCATATGTTCTGTTCTCCTATATCTCTTCTCCATCATAGGTTCTGTTCTCCCATATCTCTTCTCCATCATATGTTCTGTTCTCCTATATCTCTTCTCCATCATATGTTCTGTTCTCCTATATCTCTTCTCCATCATATGTTCTGTTCTCCCATATCTCTTCTCCATCATATGTTCTGTTCTCCTATATCTCTTCTCCATCATATGTTCTGTTCTCCCATATCTCTTCTCCATCATATGTTCTGTTCTCCCATATCTCTTCTCCATCATATGTTCTGTTCTCCTATATCTCTTCTCCATCATATGTTCTGTTCTCCCATATCTCTTCTCCATCAGATGTTCTGTTCCCGTATATCTCTTCTCCATCATATGTTCTGTTCTCCTATATCTCTTCTCCATTAGATGTTCTGTTCCCGTATATCTCTTCTCCATCATATGTTCTGTTCTCCCATATCTCTTCTCTATCATATGTTCTGTTCTCCTATATCTCTTCTCCATCAGATGTTCTGTTCCCCTATATCTCTTCTCCATCATATGTTCTGTTCCCGTATATCTCTTCTCCATCAGATGTTCTGTTCCCCTATATCTCTTTTCTATCAGATGTTCTGTTCTCCTATATCTCTTCTCCATCAGATGTTCTGTTCCCCTATATCTCTTCTCTATCAGATGTTCTGTTCTCCTATATCTCTTCTCCATCATATGTTCTGTTCTCCTATATCTCTTCTCTATCAGATGTTCTGTTCCCCTATATCTCTTCTCTATCATATGTTCTGTTCTCCTATATCTCTTCTCCATCATATGTTCTGTTCTCCTATATCTCTTCTCTATCAGATGTTCTGTTCCCCTATATCTCTTCTCTATCATATGTTCTGTTCTCGTATATCTCTTCTCCATCAGATGTTCTGTACCCCTATATCTCTTCTCTATCAGATGTTCTGTTCTCCCATATCTCTTCTCTATCAGATGTTCTGTTCCCCTATATCTCTTCTCTATCATATGTTCTGTTCTCCTATATCTCTTCTCCATCATATGTTCTGTTCCCCTATATCTCTTCTCCATCATATGTTCTGTTCTCCTATATCTCTTCTCCATCATATGTTCTGTTCTCCTATATCTCTTCTCCATCATATGTTCTGTTCTATATCTCTTCTCCATCATATGTTCTGTTCCTTCTCCATATATCTCTCTCTCCATCATATGTTCTGTTCTATATCTCTTCTCCATCATATGTTCTGTTCTATATCTCTTCTCCATCATATGTTCTGTTCTCCTATATCTCTTCTCCATCATATGTTCTGTTTCTCCTATATCTCTTCTACATCAGATGTTCTGTTCTCCTATATCTCTTCTCCATCATATGTTTCTGTTCTCCTATATCTCTTCTCCATCATATGTTCTGTTCTCCTATATCTCTTCTCTATCAGATGTTCTGTTCCCCTATATCTCTCTTCTCCATCATATGTTCTGTTCTCCCATATCTCTTCTCTATCATATGTTCTGTTCTCCCATATCTCTTCTCCATCATATGTTCTGTTCTCCCATATCTCTTCTCCATCATATGTTCTGTTCTCCTATATCTCTTCTCCATCATATGTTCTGTTCTCCCATATCTCTTCTCCATCATATGTTCTGTTCTCCTATATCTCTTCTCCATCATATGTTCTGTTCTCCTATATCTCTTCTCCATCATATGTTCTGTTCTCCCATATCTCTTCTCCATCATATGTTCTGTTCTCCTATATCTCTTCTCCATCATATGTTCTGTTCTCCCATATCTCTTCTCCATCATATGTTCTGTTCTCCCATATCTCTTCTCCATCATATGTTCTGTTCTCCTATATCTCTTCTCCATCATATGTTCTGTTCACATATTCCCATATCTCTTCTCCATCAGATGTTCTGTTCCCGTATATCTCTTCTCCATCATATGTTCTGTTCTCCTATATCTCTTCTCCATCAGATGTTCTGTTTCCCGTATATCTCTTCTCCATCATATGTTTCTGTTTCTCCCATATCTCTTCTCTATCATATGTTCTGTTCTCCTATATCTCTTCTCCATCAGATGTTCTGTTCCCCTATATCTCTTCTCCATCATATGTTCTGTTCCCGTATATCTCTTCTCCATCAGATGTTCTGTTCCCCTATATCTCTTCTCTATCAGATGTTCTGTTCTCCTATATCTCTTCTCCATCAGATGTTCTGTTCCCCTATATCTCTTCTCTATCAGATGTTCTGTTCTCCTATATCTCTTCTCCATCATATGTTCTGTTCTCCTATATCTCTTCTCTATCAGATGTTCTGTTCCCCTATATCTCTTCTCTATCATATGTTCTGTTCTCCTATATCTCTTCTCCATCATATGTTCTGTTCTCCTATATCTCTTCTCTATCAGATGTTCTGTTCCCCTATATCTCTTCTCTATCATATGTTCTGTTCTCCTATATCTCTTCTCCATCAGATGTTCTGTACCCCTATATCTCTTCTCTATCAGATGTTCTGTTCTCCCATATCTCTTCTCCATCAGATGTTCTGTTCCCCTATATCTCTTCTCTATCAGATGTTCTGTTCCCCTATATCTCTTCTACATCAGATGTTCTGTTCCCCTACATCTCCTCTCCATCCGATGTTCTGTTCCCCTATATCTCTTCTCCATCAGATGTTCTGTTCCCCTATGTCTCTTCTACATCAGATGTTCTGTTCTCCTATATCTCTTCTCCATCATATGTTCTGTTCTCCTATATCTCTTCTCGATCAAATGTTCTGTTCTCCTATATCTCTTCTCCTTCAGATGTTCTGTTCTTCTATATCTCTTCTCCATCATATGTTCTGTTCTCCTATATCTCTTCTCCATCAGATGTTCTGTTCTCCTATATCTCTTCTCCATCATATGTTCTGTTCTCATATATCTCTTCTCCATCAGGTGTTCTGTTCTCCTATATCTCTTCTCCTTCAGATGTTCTGTTCTCCTATTTATCTTCTCCATCATTTGTTCTGTACTCCTATATCTCTTTTCCTTCAGATGTTATGTTCTCCCATATCTCTTCTCCATCAGATCTTCTGTTTTCCAACATACTCATATTTACAACGTGTAATTATTTCTTTATTTTGTCAACGGATCAACATCATGGCACATGGATGTAACCCATAATTGCTCCTTTTTTCTTTCAATTCAATACTGATTCTGAAGAATCTCAGCACAGTGCACGAACTCCACTGCACTGACGAGAATCCTGAACTACTTTGGGTAGATTTGTAACTCGAAATTTTGCCCGGGCAGTGCCGTTAGTCTACTCTTTTCGATTTTCAACTGCCAGGGGATTTTTTAACGTGCGTAAGAATACAAACGGGCGTCTGATCTTACTGCCCAGAGACCAGGGGAAATTACTAGAAGTCAACCTGAAAAAAAAAAACCTAGACTTCACCGCTGCCTGAAACCGGGACCTCTAGCATTCGAGGCGGACACCCTACCTCGCGACCACGCAGCCCCCTTTCATCGACTATAACATTCACAAACAGAAAGATTACCTCCTTCTGATATGGGCAACCACTTCTCTTTCTGAATTAATTTATTTCGAGCATTCCTTATTTTATTTGTTGGCCAAGCTTTCATCATTCTTCTATAAAACACACACGACTAACACTCTTATTTAATACGAATCTGCTGAGTGTCAATTATTCCATCGCCTACATCAGAATTAGCTCGCTATAGCTTTTGGGAAATCTGAAAAAAGGAAGATTGAAAGAACAGAAATGACATGTCTACGACAAATTGAAAATGTAACAAGAAGATGCAGGATTCGAAATTACCAAATCAAGTAAGAAGTTTGGACAGAACTATTGCTAAACTATACAAAGAGACAGCATATCAAATGGTTCGGACATGTGTCAAGACTATAACTAAACCGAGGTGCAAGTGAAGCAGAACTTCAGACAGCTAATGCAAACGATGGATAGATGGACAATCCTAGGCCGTGAATTCCAGTGTTCACATAGCACATACCAAGGTAAAAAACCTGACATTGAAAGACAAAACAAGATCTGGAAACAGTAACTATACCACCCCAATGTGAGCTCCCTGTGTGTGCCTTCCTGGGCTCCAATGTGAGCTTCCTGTGTGTGCCTTCCTGGGCTCTAATGTGAGCTCCCTGTGTGTGCTTTCCTGGGCTCCAATGTGAGCTCCCTGTATGCCTTCCTGGGCTCCAATGTGAGCTTCCTGTGTGCGCCTTCCTGGGCTCTAATGTGAGCTCCCTGTGTGTGCCTTCCTGGGCTCTTATGTGAGCTCCCTGTGTGTGCCTTCCTAGGCTCTAATGTGAGCTCCCTGTGTGTACCTTCCTGGGCTCTAATGTGAGCTCCCTGTGTGTGCCGACTTGGACTCCAATGTGAGCTCCCTGTATGTGCCTTCCTGGGCTCTAATGTGAGCTCCCTGTATGTGCTTTTCTGGGCTCCAATGTGAGCTCCCTGTATGCCTTCCTGGGCTCCAATGTAAGCTCCTGTGTGTGCCTTCCTAGGCTCCAATGTGAGCTCCCTGTGTGTGCCGACCTGGGCTCCAATGTAAGCTCCCTGTGTGCCTTCCTGGGGCCAATGTGAGCTCTCTGTGTGTGCCTGCCTTGGCTCTGATGTAAGCTCCCTGTGTGTGCCTTCCTGGGCTCTAATGTAAGCTCCCTGTGTGCCTTCCTGAGCTCCATTGTGAGCTCCCTGTGTGTGCCGACCTGGGCTCCAATGTAAGCTCCCTGTGTGCCTTCATGGGGCCAATGTGAGCTCTCTGTGTGTGCCTTCCTAGGCTCTAATGTGAGCTCCCTGTGTGTGCCTTCCTCGGCGCTGATGTTAGCTCCCTGTGTGTACCTTCCTGGGCTCCAATGTGAGCTCCCTGTGTGTGCCTTCCTGTGCCCTAGTGTGAGTTCCCTGTGTGCGCCTTCCTGGGCTCCGATGTGAGCTCAATGTGTGCCTTCCTGGGGCCAATGTGAGCTCTCTGTGTGTGCCTTCCTGGGCTCTAATGTGAGCTCCCTGTGTGTGCCTTCCTCGGCTCTAATGTGAGCTACCTGTGTGTACCTTCCTGATCTCTAATGTTAGCTCCCTGTGTGTACCTTCCTGGGCTCCAATGTGAGCTTCCTGTGTGTGCCTTCCTGGGCCCTAGTGTGAGTTCCCTGTGTATGCCTTCCTGGGCTGCTCCAATGTTAGCTTCCTGTGTGTGCCTTCCTGGGCTCCAATGTGAGCTCAATGTGTGCCTTCCTGGGCTCCAATGTGAGCTCCCTGTGTGCCTTCCTGGGCTCCAATGTGAGCTTCCTGTGTGTGCCTTCCTGGACTCCATTGTGAGATTCCTGTGTGTGCTTTTCTGGGCTCTAATGTGACCTCCCTGTGTGTGCCTTCCTGGGCTCCAATGTGACCTCCCTGTGTGTGCCTTCCTGGGCTCTAATGTGACCTCCCTGTGTGTGCCTTCCTGGGCTCTAATGTGAGCTTCCTATGCGCGTCTTTCTGGGCTCCAATGTGAGCTCCCTGTGTGTTCCTTCCTGGGCTCTAATGTGAGCTCCCTGTGTGTGCCTTACTGGGCTCCAATGTGAGCTCCCCGTGTGCCTTCCTGGGCTCTAATGTGACCTCCCTGTGTGTGCCTTCTTGTTCTCTAATGTGAGCTCCCAGTGTGTGCTGACTTGGGCTCCAATGTGAGCTCCCTGTATGTGCCTTCCTAGGCTCTAATGTGAGTCCCCTGTATGTGCCTTCCTGGGCTCCAATGTGAGCTCTCTGTGTGTTCCTTCCTAGGCTCCAATGTGAGCTCTCTGTGTGTGCCTTCCTGGGCTTTAATGTGGGCTCCCTGTGTGCCTTTCTGGGCTCCAATGTGAGCTCCCCGTGTGTGCTGACTTAGGCTCCAATTTGAGCTCCCTGTATGTACTTTCCTAGGCTCTTATGTGAGCTCCCTGTATGTGCCTTTTTGGGCTCCAATGTGAGCTCCCTGTGTGTGCCTTCCTGGGCTCTAATGTGAGCTCCCTGTGTGTGCCTTTCTGGGCTCCAATGTGAGCTCCCTGTGTGTGCCTTCTTGGGCTCTAATGTGAGCTTCCTGTGTGTGCCTTCCTGGGCTCTAATGTGAGCTCCCTGTGTGTGCCTTTTTGGGCTCCAATGTGAGCTCCCTGTGTGTGCCTTCCTGGGCTCTAATGTGAGCTCCCTGTGTGTGCCCTTCTGGGCTCCAATGTGAGCTCCATGAGTGTGCCTTCTTGGGCTTTAATGTGTCCTCCCTGTGTGTGCCTTCCTGGGCTCTAAGGTGAGCTTCCTGTGTGTGCCTTTCTGGGCTCTAATGTGAGCTTCCTGTGTGTGCCTTCCTGGGCTCCAATGTGAGCTCCCTGTCTGCGTTCCTGGGCTCAATTGAAGTGGAAAGAAGAATAGACCCACTACTCTCTTACAAGCATGTCGAAAAGCGACTAAATAAGGGAGTTTCCTTCGAAATTAGAGTGCACCTCCATGGGAGACAAGGAAACAACAGTCTGCATAAAAATAAACCAGTCTGTTAAACTGGTGTGCATGCGAAACTCGGAAAAAAGACCAACGCCCAGAAGTAGTCAAACAACCAGAACTTATGGGTCAAATTGTGTTTTAAGAAGGACCACACATGTGACAACTAATTGGAGTCATTTAATTTGTAAAAAATTTATTACAGAATAGATCCTTTGCGCGGGTCGCAGGTGTGTTCACAAAGGGTCGAATGTCTGTTCTTGAAGACACCTTACACATGACATTATCAGAGTGTTCAAAGGCGTTCGCACACTAACTTCCTTCAGACTAGTCTCATGTCGTCTTCTTCTAGTCCACGCTGTGTGGTGCTGGCAATCATGGCTAGCCACGACCTATTGTCTTGTGTGTTTTCGGTCAGTTCTCACGCAGATTATGTCCCACGCCATGAATCATTTATAATGTTCAGCCCCTGCTTGCTCTGTCTCCCGCTGCCTTCCCCCCCCCCCCCCCTCTCTAACTTTCCCACCATTAAGATGAAATCTAATTTTCTCCGTGTCCACAAGGACACAAAAGCGTATGAGCATTCATCTGGTTCTGGTAGCAGAACAGTCTATGAAACCAGCTCTGCATGACTACCAGCAGCATGAGGATGGAGGTGATGGTGGTGACATAAGTTTTCATGAGGCTGAAATCACAGGACTATTCTCACGTGTTTTTGCTAAGTGATTCTATGAGCATGATCCAGTGGGTCGAGGCAGGATCTGCACGCATACAGTGAAATGAGTCATTGCAAAACTCCACTATACTTGCAAGCACCGTCATCAATGTCCCAGCAAATTATGGTGTTGTTGGCAATGAAACAACAGACAGACTGGCCGGTTATGTCTTAGCTGCGGATGGTTAGCCTAGGGATCGTGCCGACATTGTTAATGCCCTTAGACAGGACAATCCAAGGATTTTGGGAGCGGCGTGTCCACATAACTGCTAAGAATACGAAAATGTGTGCACAGAAGGACGTGTCCTCAATGCAATGAAGATTACCGAACACATAACTAAGAACACCGAATGTCGACTGTCATTTGACACGATATCGGGTCAGCAAACCGTTGTTTTCAAGCTTGGGTGGATACTGTCACCAGGTGTGGAGCCTGCGTCATTCAATAGCTAAGTTACTTAATGTACTTTATTTGGTAGTTTGATCATTCTCCACGGTGTATGCTGATAAAAGCTTTTAGCTGCAACGTCCATTTCCATTATTGGGTTTTATAGGCAATCGAACTATTTTTCTACTTAATTGACAGCTTTATTCCTAGGAACCAACCTGGCGGATGGGGTGTAATGGGGGGGGGGGGGGTGTCTGTCCCTAACAAACATATCGTAAAAGTGCGACTAATTATGGATTGACTAAAATCGGATATGTTAGACCAGAAGGTATAGATATCATAACTTTGTTTTAAACCACAAGACATCTTGTTTGTCAGCGCACCTTCAGGCTGGACGCATGAGACGTTCTAGAACATTTTATGACCGTTCAGTCCTCTTGGAATGCCAATCAATACTTGACAATGTAATAACGACAGGCAGGGGTGATGACAAGTGGCTGCTTAAAACCAGAAACTCTGTAAAACGGCTAACTGACAGCTTCCGGTAAAAGGGCAGCAGCTTAAAGGTTCCGCGATGGGCCGGAGCTTTCCAAACTATGTGTCGTGACACAGTAGTATGTCGGTAGCAGTGTGAAAGTGTAACACGAACTTAAAGCGTTCAACAATTTATACACCCTGTGTCCCAAAAATATAAGCCTGGGCCTTACATTAATTTTTGTTTCAACAAACGCACAGGGGGTTATTTTCCGGGGATGTATTTTTTCCCAGATACAAAATTCTACATTCATTTAAATACGATCATGTCATCTTCTTTTTTATTATCCTCATAACTATTCAAATCCCGAATTTCTACCTGAATTTATTGCACATTAAAAACCACATCCGTTTATTATCAAATGCGCACCATTGACGTCTTTTCTCCGACTGACCATTCGGCCATAGGTCTCGGATTCTAGCTGACGATCTTGAGGGGGCCTAATTTTTGGATACGACTTAAACTAGAAGGATCATGGCAAATTGTGCTGGGTTTTATTTTTGAGTTAGGTCTTTTTTTTTCTCGGGATTATATATATATATATATATATATATATATATATATATATATATATATATATATATATATAGAGAGAGAGAGAGAGAGAGAGAGAGAGAGAGGGAGAGAGAGAGAGCGGGCTGTGTATATATACATATATATCAATCAATCAATATATACACACATATACATATATATATATATAGAGAGAGAGAGAGAGGGAGAGAGAGAGCAGTTTATATATATTCAACATATACATTTATCAATCAATCAATAAATACACCACGCACACATATATATAATATATATATATATATATATATATATATATATATATATATATATATATATATATTATATTATATATATATATATATATATATATATATATATATATATATATATATATATATATATATATATATATATATAGTTTGTTTTTGTTGTTTCTTTTTAGTACACAGAAGCCATGAGTTGTTAACCCCTTAGGCTCGCCAGGAGTTATTATGGATATCGCAACCTTTCGGTCTTGATTCCATTGTAAATACCGTAAATCTGGGAGAAAATGTGGCTTTCCTGTGTACCCCCGGTAGTGACCCAGGACCACAAGGATTTCGTCACCCGGTCACCGCTCAATCCGGTTTAGCCAACTACCCTAGAGAGCCGGGCATATATATATATATATATAGCAGTGTACATATACATATATATATCAATCAATCAATAATCAATATATATATATATATATATATATATATATATATATATATATATATATATATATATATATATATATATGTCATACGGTGATAGTTTAACGTCTGTTGGTTTGCTAGTAAGATTGTCTTTAAAAAATGCTGCCCTAAAATAACAAATTTTGAAAGCTCTGAGTGAGATCGACGGAACTATTCAATAGAGACGTCGATAGTGTAGGGACAACAAGGTGACGGAGTGGCCTGGTAATGTAGTTCTGCGTGGCTGGAAGTTCAGTGACCGTGAGAAGTTTAGCCTGGTGGAAGGTGGGGGGGGGGGGCGGGGGAAGGGGTTGTACAAACACCGGTTTTGAATTAGGAAGACAAACATCTGGACTCCAACGATTTACGGCAATATACAGTGTAATCAACAGGTGTGTTAGGACCCAGCAGAAACACACACACACAGAGACATGCACACTGATATACACTAGGAGGGCCGAAACCTGGGGCTTAGGCCACTTGCGGGTTCCACCCCCCCCCCCCCCCCAACCTGCCCCCCCCCCCTCAGTATTTAGCAAAAACATTAAGTTTTCCCCTTAAATTGTGCATAGACATTATTTGTTTATACATCTAAAATGATTTCAAATGTATTATTGCCATTCAGCATCGACTTTTATTATTATTATGCACTTTATACCCTGGTGGAGCATAGACCCTAAGTCAGCTCATTCTATGTCATCCTATCCTCCTCTGTTGTGTGTAGCCCAGCCATGTCCCCCTGTTGGTTCAACTTTATTCTCTATCACCCCTTCTCCGTGTCTTTTTTAGGTCTGCAATTATTTCTATGCCAGCGTCTTTTCTCCGCCTCCTGGTTCTCTCGAACTTGCGTAGTGCTCCCCCAAAGCTGTACATCTGTGATTCTATCACACTATGCTATTCCCTCTAGTCGGTGCAGGCACCAGTTAAAGAATGTTTGTAGTTCATTAGTAACTCTATTCGTTGTTCTCCATTGTTCCCGCCGCATACATCAGTACTGATTTGACATTAAAACTAAAAAACCTAGTGTAAGTATTACTTTTCTTTGACCTTCAAAAATGTCGCAGCGCTATAAAAGCTTCTCTTGCCATTTGTACTCATATTTGCATATCTCCATCAGTTCCCCCATCGTTCTCCACATTACTGCTTAAATAGATGTACGACTCCAAGTCTTGGAGGGGGATACCATTAATAGAAACAACATTACTTATTGCCTGATTTATTCGCATTATCTTTGTTTGCCCCTTATGGATTTGTAGACCTAGCTGTTGTGATCTTGCATCAAGTATGTTCAATTTATTTAGCATTTGATTCCGTGAGTGAGACAGAAGAGAAATATTAGAGAAGCCCAGATCATCGAACTGTTTTGTAGGTTTCTACTGAATTCCATTTCTGGTGTTTACAGTTGCTGTCTTCATAATCCTGTAAAAGTATGAGACATCCCTGTTGCACACCTGTTCTTATTTCAAATACATCAGCTTTTTCCCCCATGAAGAACTTGCATTTCATGTCTTTGTTTGTTTTTCCTGTATGCGAACTTGTTCTACTTCTTTTTCTACTTTTTTTTTCAAATACATCTGATAGTTTTTCCAGTGTAAGCGAACTTGTTCTACTTCTTTTTCTACTTATTTCAAATACATCTGATGGTTTTTCCAGTGTAAGCGAACTTGTTCTACTTATTTTTCTACTTATTTCAAATACATCTGATAGTTTTTCCAGTGTAAGCGAACTTGTTCTACTTATTTTTCTACTTATTTCAAATACATCTGATAGTTTTTCCAGTGTAAGCGAACTTGTTCTACTTCTTTTTTTGCTTATTTCAAATACATCTGTTAGTTTTTCAAGTGTAAGCGAACTTGTTCTACTTCTTTTTCTACTTATTTTAAATACATCTGTTAGTTTTCCCCCATGAAGAACTCGCATTTCATGTCTTTACATGTTGCTTTTTTACTAAGTAAATAATTTTACGTGGGATTCCATAGTACCTCTTCAGTTTCCAGAGAGACTCCCTGTCAATGCTGTCAAAACTTTTCCATAGTCTACGAATCCAATGTAAACAAGTGAATTCAATTAGAGGCTTTGCTCTAATATTATGCTTAGCATGACTAAATGGTTAATATATTCCCAGGCACTGACAGTAACAGAACTCCCCTACAGCTTTTTCACTCTTGCGGTTCACAGGCACTGACAGTAATAGAACTCCCCTAAAGCTTTCATACTCCTGCGGTTCACAAGCACTGACAGTAACAGAACTCCCCTACATCTTTCACACTCTTGCGGTTCACAGGCACTGACAGTAACAGAACTCCCCTAAAGCTTTCATACTCCTGCGGTTCACAAGCACTGACAGTAACAGAACTCCCCTACATCTTTCACACTCTTGCGGTTCACAGGCACTGACAGTAACAGAACTCCCCTAAAGCTTTCATACTCCTGCGGTTCACAAGCACTGACAGTAACAGAACTCCCCTACAGCTTTCACTCTCCTGTGGTTCACAGGCACTGACAGTAACAGAACTCCCCTACAGCTTTCACACTCTTGCGGCTCACAGGCACTGACAGTAACAGAACTCCCCTACAGCTTTCATACTCCTGCGGTTCACAAGCACTGACAGTAACAGAACTCCCCTACAGCTTTCACTCTCCTGTGGTTCACAGGCACTGACAGTAACAGAACTCCCCTACAGCTTTCACACTCTTTCGGTTCACAGGCACTGACAGTAACAGAACTCCCCTACAGCTTTCACACTCTTGCGGTTCACAGGCACTGACAGTAACAGAACTCCCCTACAGCTTTCACTCTCCTGTGGTTCACAGGCACTGACAGTAACAGAACTCCCCTACAGCTTTCACACTCCTGCGGCTCACAGGCCATAAACATATCCTTCTTTTCAGTCTAAATTCAGAAAACAAGATGATAAAGATGAAATGATGATAAGAAGAAGAAGAAAGAGACGAGGAGATGTTGGTGGAGGTGGAGGAGGTTTACGACAACAACAACTTCAAGGACACACAAAAAACCAAAACAAGAACATCAACACATGTAAATCTGACCGACTTTGATATGAACAAAGAACCACCCAGACAACAAATCAACAAGACCACCAGACCGTTTCGCAGTCTCTAGTCATTTACTTTAAACAAGACATTTGATTATTCTATTCAAGTGTGCTGACGTAGAGCGGCAGATAAATTAAAATAAATACGAAGCTACACATCAAAGTCACAGAGTCTGACATTCTATCATCAAAATCACTAACCATTTATTTGTATATTTTGCCAACACTTTGATGACTAATGCATTTCTTATCATTCTCAGCTGACAAAATAATCCTCATTTATCTTTCTTCTCTCCAACATGGCGGGTAGTCTCTTCTGACACACAGATGCGTGTCTGCTCTAAATCAGGTTTTAAACAAGTTTGTACCGTTACATAAATTACAATTGTTTGGGTAATTCCAAACACACCGTTGTGCGCCCGATTGTAATGTTATTTTAGTAACACCTAAATGAAATTGTTGATGAGTTTCTTATTTAGCTAAAAGTACTTGTTCAAGAAATGTGTGTAGATATAAAAGTAATAAGTTGAGAGATGTTAGAAGTAAATCCTTTGATAAAAATGTATTTATGTTTCGTATGTTGCTCTTTTTCTTTTTTTTCAAGTGCATGCATTGTGTCGCTGGCAGTCGTGTCATCTGCAGCTTTATGTCTTGTCTACTTTGATTTAATTCATCTTCTTCTTATGCTCACCGGTTGTAAACAAAGATGGAAAGTTCTGGTTGTTCGTCCAATTTTGGATTTTGGTCCTGTTCTAGAACTTGAGTTTTGCGTGCATATCCGTATCACAGATGTTATTTATTAGTTTGCAGACTATTAGTTCCTCGCCACTTAGGCGGATGCATTCCTACTTTGAATGAAACACCCTAATTACTCGTATTTTACGACATGTTTGTGATAGGTCACTAAGTCTCTTCGTCTCTCTTTTGCCCATTCAAAAACTGACCTTGAAACCAACACAAGGAGATTAATTTCTGACACAGATGATCTTCCATGCATTGATGTCAAACTGTAAAACATCTTTCTCAGTCTCCCACTGTCTTTTCTTCCTCCAACTTTTCCATCGTCTTTAGACTCTCCAGTTTTCTCCTTCTAACGACGTAATCAAAGAATGTAGACTGTCTCCTGATTGAGGTCAATCCGTTCTGTTTCGCAACATCTTGGTCCATTTACACAGTGACAGTATCTCTTTTATCCCTCTTGCCTTGGTCCTCTTGTGGTTTGTAGTGTAAAGTGGAAGTAGGCGTAAAAAACAGGAGATTGTCCATGTATGTGGCTCGTACATGGAGATTCCCAGAGATTGTCCATGTATGTGGCTAGTACGTGGAGATTTCCAGAGATTGTCCATGTATGTGGTTCGTACATGGAGATTCCCAGAGATTGTCCATGTATGTGGCTAGTACATGGAGATTCCCAGATATTGTCCATGTATGTGGCTCGTACGGGGAGATTCCCAGAGATTGTCCACGTATGTGGCTCGTACATGGAGATTCCCAGAGATTGTCAATGTTTGCATCTCGTACAGGGAGATTCCCAGAGATTGTCCATGTATGTGGTTCCTGTCAGTTTAGCTACACAATATTTTGGTTTGGGCGCACAAAAAATATGGTATATGCCATCGTTTACACTCACTGGGGTCAGCGCTCAACAATGTGACCCGAGGAGAGAAGACAAATGGTGTTTAGCGTATCAGTTTCCTGATCATGTATTAAAGAAACTGGAAAGCTAAAGCAAACCAGAGTCAATCTGAATCTGGTGATCTTGTGAGGCAGACATCAGTGAAGACGAAGACAAGATTCTACAGGGTGTTTGTAAAATACCGCTACACTTTTAATGCAGACAAAAAAAAAATTACATGACGTCATTTTTTAAAAGTTTGCTAAGAAAGTCATCAAATTAGTTGCACTGGCTACTGCTATGGTCTAACGCTGTTATGGGAAAGCTAGAAATTACCATTCTCTTGTGAATGCATATAAACTACTCCAGCAGACGACAACCATTCTCTGGACATTGCTTCGCGATTACAGTGGAGCACATTTTAATGACGTCATTATTTGTTTATCACATTGACTACTTATAACGTGCAGTGAGACTTTACAAACACCCTGCATATGGTAAGTTGCATCAATATGTATGTATATTTTTAACTTTTTCTTTTTCTATCGAAATGTTTTCTTTTAAAGCTAAGAGGCAACTATGTATTTTATCTCTGCACTACATCCTGCTTTTATGACAACCATAAAAAATCCAAAGATTTACACTGTTGTACTTGTCAGTTCTTCTTCTTCTTCTTCCTATTCTTCTTCTTCTTCTTCTTCTTCTTTTTCTTCTTCTTCTTCTTCTTCTTCTTCTTCTTCTTCTTCTTCTTCTTCTTCTTCTTCTTCTTCTTCTTCTTCTTCTTCTTCTTCTTCTTCTTCTTCTTCTTATTCTGCTGCTGCTGCTGCTGCTGTGCTGCTCTTTCTTCTCCTCCTGGACCAGTTAACCGGTCACCACGGTCGTGTCTTCTAAAAGATCATCCATGTGGGAGAAACAGAGCGAGAATAAAGTATATATTATTAAAACTAACGCAATCATAAATGTCAGACAAGAAGAAACGGAAAGATAAAAACAGCAGAACCACACTGAAAGTCACAAAATCCCAGGTCGAATCAATAAAAAATCTTATCTGGCATACAAGATTCATGGCGACATTTAAGCTCTTCTCACATATTGCCAGGAGTTTTCTGCGCGCTGGGTCAAGTTCAGTTTTATGGATTATGTAAAGGAATTTGGAAACTTAACGCTTCATTTAAAAGAAATGATATGATAGGATCAGAATGCGAAATAGATCTAAGATAGATATATTGCTTTCTTAGATGCTAAATATGTATATATATGTTTGTGTCTTCTTTTTCTTCTTTTTCTTCTTTTCCTTCTTCTTCTTTTTCTTCTTTTTCTTCTTCTTCTTCTTCTTCTTCTTCTTCTTCTTCTTCTTCTTCTTCTTCTTCTTCTTCTTCTTCTTCTTCTTCTTCTTCTTCTTCTTCTTCTTCTTCTTCTTCTTCTTCTTCTTCTTCTTCTTCTTCTTTCCCTTCTTCTTCTTCTTCTTCTTCTTCTTCTTCTTCTTCTTCTTCTTCTTCTTCTTCTTCTTCTGCTTCTTCTTCTTCTTCTTCTTCTTCTTCTTCTTCTTTTTCTTCTTCTTCTTCTTCTTCTTCTTCTTCTTCTTCTTCTTCTTCTTCTTCTTCTTCTTCTTCTTCTTCTTCTTCTTCTTCTTCTTCTTCTTCTTCTTCTTCTTCTGCTGCTGCTGCTGCTGCTGCTGCTGCTGCTACTTCTTCTTTTTCCCCTCCTCCTCCTTCTTCTTCTTTTTCTTCTTCTTCTTCTTCTTCTTCTTCTTCTTCTTCTTCTTCTTCTTCTTCTTCTTCTTCTGCTGCTGCTGCTGCTGCTGCTGCTGCTACTTCTTCTTTTTCCCCTCCTCCTCCTTCTTCTTCTTTTTCTTCTTCTTCTTCTTCTTCTTCTTCTTCTTCTTCTTCTTCTTCTTCTTCTTCTTCTTCTTCTTCTTCTTCTTCTTCTTCTTCTTCTTCTTCTTCTTCT